TTATGAATAGTATCAGAAAGGTTAGTTGTAGTGTTAGTAAATTCAGACTTGCTATCATGTCCATTGAAAATTAAATTGATAGTAAGATACAAGTTGGAAATTGAATTTAAAATGGATTGCATGCTCCTATTAGTGTAAGATCAGGCGTTTTTGGTTTTAAATGCACTAGATAGTTCAGTTGTTCATTTACAGGTTTAAGTCATGCATAAAAATCCATAGAATGTGCTGATTGAGACTGATTCGGCTTTTGAAAGTTCAAATTCAATACGTTTTGGCTAACTGTATGAGTGGAATATTCATGTGATGATTGGATTCGAGGTTATTTGATTAAAATCAATATTTAGAATTAAAATCAGACTTTCATTTAAATAGTTGTGAATTAAAATCAGTAGTTGGAAATCCAAATAGAAATCGATATTTGATTATGGGCTCATTTAGGAGCCAAAACATGTCAGCCTTCCCTTTAAATAGGATTTGGGGCCTAAATTTATTCGTCCCAGGCCCACATGAGGCAGTTCCTCATAAAACTGACCATGTATTCTTTCTTCCTGGGCTAAGTTTGAAGCCCAAAGAAAAATGCTGAAGGCTTGAATTCACACTAAGGTTATAGGATTAATTGTGTAACATGGGTTTTGGGCCTTCTAGTTAAGTAGCATACTTGAATTAAGAGGTTTTCCTCTTGTTCAAGTGTGGACTTGAACTTGAGGCCCAAATTCCTTGTTTACTTTTAATAATAGCAATTCACAATGCTAATTAATTAAGGCCCTTTTAGAGACAATACTTAATAGAAAATCATAGTTCCTTTAGGTTGGCCTTAAAATAAAATGAGGTGCGCCGCGCCAAATAAAATTCATAAACTGCGTGGCCCTCTTTAAATTACTTCATTAAAAGTATTTTAGAACTCGGGACGTGCCATTTAGCGAATTTTCATGGCCTCCCGCAAAGTTAATAACACGTTAGTCACTTTAGGCGCGCTCTAATAATTTTACCTTCCTAAACTCGGGTGTGCATTTCATATGACCCAAATCCAAATCCCAAAATGTTGAATAAAATGTGTCGAGGATCCGGGTGCATTTCATGTGACGTGATCCGAAAACATGTTTTAAACGATGTTCCATTTTTTAAAAATTAATTAAAAGCGGTAAATAATTTTAAAATTGCATTATAGGATGACATGTATAAAAAAATCAGATTTTTAGCCAATTATAATAGTTTAAGCGACCTTGCTATAACCACGGGATCCGGGGGTGCCTAACACCTTCCCTCGGGTCAACAGAATTCCTTATTCAGAATTTCTGGTTCGCAGACTCCATTCGGGAAATTGAAATTTCCTCGATTTGGGATTCAAAATAAACCGGTGACTTGGGACACCAAAAGCCAAACCTATCCCAAGTGGCGACTCTGAAAAATCAAATAAATAATCCCATTTCGAATAATGTCACTTTAAATGGAAAAACCCTCTTATACATAATCCTTCGAATAATCCCATTTTGAAGAACTAGGATTTAGTTTATTTTAGAAAATTTATTAGTTAATTTTAGGGTTAAATCAGGTTTTGGTTAGTTTTAATTTTGTATTTAAAAAATGAAAGAAGAAGAAAATAAATAAAAACCAAAGAAGGAAAGAAAAGAAAACAAATGAAAAAAAGAATTAAAAGAAAAAGTAAGGTCTTAATAAAACACCAAGTTTGGGCCATTTTAATACCAGCCCAAATCCAAATCCCGGAACCCGTTTCAAATTGGCCCAAACCCACAAGCCAACCCGGTCCAGCTTTTGTTACAGTGAAACGGCGCCGTTTGAACTCCAGATAATCTTGACCGTCTAGGTTTTGAATCTAACGGTCGAGAAGTCCCTTGTATTAAATATACAAATGTCGGAATCCATTCCCCCCTACCCCTCGATTCATCATCTCAGAACACCCCTACATATCACCACCGCCCCTCCGCCGTCCGCCACCGGCCGGAAATCGTCTCCGCCGGCGGCAAGTCTCCAATAGCCATGAAATTTACACCCCTGGACCTCCTTCTTCTCCTCATCCCGAATCCATGCCCCATTTCCTTCAAATACTCACCAAACCCTTCAAAAAACCAAAACCCTAGCGCCGCCTCCGCCGCACACGGCGGCGCAGCCACCCAAACCCCACCAAAATCACACCCCGCAACCGTCTCACCCTCCTCTACCTAAATCCCAAACTAATTTTTCCCGAATCTAACTGTAGTCCGTCAAATTTTAAATCTAGGGTTTTGGTTGCTTGACTGATGCGAGTTTCTTAAAAGGGCCAAGGTTCGAATGGGTTCCAAAGTAATGCTATGTGTTTGTTCTTAGCAAGAACAAACACATAACATTATTTGGGGACCAAATTCGAGGTCAGTCCAAACGAAGGCTAAACCAGTAAGGTTTTTCCTCCTTATTCGATTATTTCTTTTTATTGATTCTGTTTTGTGATTTTTGATTTTAGTTTAATTTTTTTTTTTTGTTTTTGATTCTGTTGTGATGTATGTTTTTGGTTCAATTTAGTGTTTGTTTCTACTAGTATAAGTTTTAATTTTCTTTTAATTTTTTTTAGTCAATCCTGTTTAGTCAGTGTTTGATTTTAATTTTTAATTATTGTTTCAGTGTTTGGTTAAATCAGTATTTTTTTTATTGTTGTTGTATTAGTTTAGTTTCGATTGTTTTACTCTTAGCCTTAGGACATTAGTGTTAATTAGAATTATTTTCCAATCTTGATTGATTAGTTTGATTGTTAGGATTTCTATTAGTTTTGGTTGTTTGGATATAGCTGAATTAGAATTTTTTGGTTTAACTATAGCTAAATTTTAACAAGGTTAATAGGGCTGGGGTGGGTTAGTAATTTCAGAACTAGTGAAAGGGTAATTGGGGTAATTCAAAGTAGGGAATCCTGCGAAGAACTGATTTGGAAACCCCTAGAACATTCTAGATGGGGTTCCAATTAGAGTTTTAAGAACTTAATAGTGTGACTTGGCCAACAAGGCATGAACTAAAGGACTAAATAGCTAAAATCTGAAAATAAATGAGGGACCTAGGGAGTAAATGAAAATCTGAAGGCTGCCCTAAGTTTTACCTATAAAAAGGCATGCCCATTGCCTTGTTTCACAAGTTTGAAATCTGAAAAATCCCTACCAAATTCTAGAAGCATTAGAGATTCAAAAACTCTGAAGATTTTGAAATTCAAATCCCAGATCTTAGAAAAATCAGAAAGAAAAAACCAAAAAAAAAAGGTGTCAAAGACTCGAAAGCTACTGAAAATTACTAAAAATCCAGAAATCATTATTGTTCCATTGAAGTTTTTTTTTTCCTGAGAATCTCATGTTCAAAAACTCCTGAAGTCATTACTGTTTCATCTAAATCACTGCTGTTCTATTTGCTGGATTGATTTTATATCTCAAAAGCTCACTGCTGGGTTTGTATCAGTGCTGTGTTGCTGTTGTCTTCATTTGCTGTTGCCTGCCCTGTTGATTCTCATTTCCTGCATTTATTCCCTTTCCAGGTACACATTTGGTCTCATACAACTTGTGAAGACTCAATGTAGGATTGATGTAGCAGATTAAATGATGAAATGTTATTGAATTCGATCTCTGAAATTTCATGTTCCTTGTTTAGTTTAAAGGCATAGAGTAGTTTTGTTTATTTAACAATATATTGACTTGTAATTAATTAGGCTGCTGGACCTTTTATAATTGCATGAATGTTCTGCCAGTAACACTAGTTTAGTATTGATTNATTGGCTTTTGTCAGCACAAACGTCATTAGTCTCATCACGCCAATTCGTTCTATTATTAAGTCTAATACAAATTGAAACATTCTCGCACTAGATAACTCTATCAATTACTCCCTCCCCATTTTATATATATATTTATATATATATATATATATATATATATATATATATATTCGTCAACATTCTTCGTAAATATATATGTGTAAATAATAATAAAATTAAAAATATTGAATATAAATATAAAAAAGATACTGTGTCGTTACTGTAATTTATTTATTTATTTTATTTTTTCAAATATTGATACTCCTTACAAAAAGTTATGCGAACACCACTGTAAACAAGTGTATTCACTGAATTAGTGTTAACATCAGATCACTAATAAAAATTTTACCTATTAGCACCAGAACTCATGTCTACTTCAATCTTTACATTGTATCTGGCTATTAACCCTCCTAGATTATGCCCTAGCCACAAGTTTTTTTAATAATTGAATAAAACAAAAAACAGACGCGCCTATCCAGGACAAGTCATGCAATCATGCATGACAATACATGAAGTTAGGTTTACAGGCTACTGCAGCAAAGATATATATAGAGTCAATATCCGCTTTATATATAGAGTGTCGGGGTTCACTTTCGGATTTAGTCAAAATCCCCTTTATATATAGAGTGTCCACTATTAATATATTATTATTTTATAAAGATATATATATATATATATATATATATATATATATATATATATATATATATATGGAGTTTTTGCCGAACTTTACGGGTGCCAGTAATCCCTCTCGATATAGCATAGGTCCGCCTTTGATGAAAGGTATAGCTCACGATCAAATCTAGATTCTTTTTAAGAACACAATTCCTGAATATAATTTATCGCGGATCTAAAATTTAAAGTTCGTGAATTTCTTCAGCAACCTCATATTATATACTATAATAATTAAGTACACATTCAAGTATCTATAGATGTCTTCCATATATATATATATATATATATATATATATATATATATATATATATATATATATATATAT